CAGGGAGCCGCAGGGGAGGCGGGAGGCGCCGGTGACCCTCCAGGAGCCCTGCTCTCGCCGAGATCAGAGGGGAGAACCCACCTCGGCAGCCACCCGACGGTCAGCTCTGCTTCCCCGGGAAGGTGGGGAGGGTTGCTTCCCAAACTGTGGCAACCGCGGGCACCTGTCTTAGCGGCCCTGCCTCCTTTCCTCGTCTGTGAAATGGGCACAGAGGTCCCTTGTGAGGTTGAGTGAGCGCTGGCCTTGCGTGGCACCTGACAGGGGGAACTGGAATCAGCTGGTGGCTGCCGAGTCCCACCTGGAGCCCAGGCAGGTCTCTTCCTTGCGTCCTTGTAAACAATCCTGGCACTGCCCAAGGTGGAGGTTAGGGATGCCTTGAGGACACACAGGCCAGGCCTTGAGTGGTCCCTGCAGCAGGACCTGGCTGGGACAAGCCGGAGGGTCCCAGGCAGCACCGTCTCTCTGCCCTGACGCCTCTGGTGTGGTGCCCAGCGTGTGTCCTCGGGGTTAGGGTCCTGGCTGGGTGTGAACTAAGGCAAGTTACATAAGCCTCTGAGCCTCAGTGCCCTCCTCTGTGACATGGGGTGGTAGGCAAGTCCCCTTCGAGGGCAGCAGCTGCAGAGGTCCTGTTCTGGGGACACATGCACCAGACAGTCCCGGCCCCAGCTCCGGTGACGCCCACAGCCTGGAGAAGGACGTGCGCGGGAGAGGTGCTGAGGGCTGAAAGCAGGCGCTCCAGTCCTGCGGGGAGGCCAGAGTCTTGGGGGCTTCCTGGAAGGAATGTGGTCTAAGTCACCTGGAGGTGCCACCCGGAGAACCGGGTGAGAGTGGTCAGGTACGTCTACCTGCTCCCCGCCCTCTGGGCATATCTGGGGAGACCTTTGCTGCCAGGGCGTCCCCAGGGCTCACATGAGCACCTAAGGGCAGTCCCTCTCCACCCTTGTGGTGAAACCAGGCACCCAGGTGAAGCAGCCTGTTGGGGTCCCCGCCGCTTGCAGGGCCTGCTACCCCTGGACTGGAGCGGCCACCCAGTCTGGGGGTTTTGGTTTCGGTTTCTTTCTGTCTGCTCAGCCTGGCCCTCCCTTGCTCAGGTGACGTCCCTCTGCAGCATGGAGGACGGATCCAGAATCCCTGGTCACCAGGTTCCAGGTGAGAGACACCATCTAGGTCAGCATGGGGCCTGGCTCCTCGCCTGGCTCTCGCTGACAGGAGGCCTGACCCAGGAGCTCACGTTCCCTCTGCACCTGGCTCCTCACCTGCCAGGGAGGGAGACACCCACCTTTCAGAAGCTGAGGAGGGGCCAACAGAGTGGGCGAGAGGACCGCTGGAGGCACCGTCGGGCTAGCTGTTTTACAGCTGGTGACTGGGGCAGCAGGTGACCTGTCACCTGTCCAGATAGCAGTCAGGGTCAGGGCTCTGGTCCATCCTGTACCTCTGGGGTTCCCTGGGGTACCAGTCAAGCCTGAGCCGGGGCCCGGGTTTATAGGGGGTGGAGTTAAAGATGGGAACCACAGAGCCACAGCTGGGTGGCCATGGGCTGAGCCAGGCTATGTGCAGAGCTGGGCACTCCCACTGTGAAGGGTGACCCTCTACGTGGCCATGAGGGCTCTCTCCACCTCAGCACTGTGCCAGCTAAGGGTGTGGGGCTGCCCCTGTACAGCAGGTGCCAGCAGCATCCCTGGCCTCAGCCCACAGGTCCCAGACCGGTGACTACCTGCACAGCGTCTCCAGGCATTGCCAGGTCTCTCCTGGTGGGCAGAGCTGCTTCCCGCTGAGAGCTGCTGAGCCAGTGGAACCCGCTGGTGTGTGCTGTGGTTTACCAAGCCAGCTCCTGTCCCTCAATCATGTGGGACTCCAAGTCCCAAGCTTGGCTGGGCAGAATCACCAAGCACAAGGGCATCATTGTGGGCTGACCAGGGTCGGGATGACATGGAGAGAGGCCAAGCCCCGCCGGATAGGGTGAGGGCAGCTGGACTCAGAGGCTGGGATAGAAGGACAGGGTGTCACACATTCACCCATCAATTCAGGATTTGAGCCCCACTTGGGGGCTGGGAGGTTGTTCCTACCCTGCAAGGACTCACAGACTTGTAGGCAATCGGGGACAGGCAGCCAGACCACCTGAAGCTCTGGTGCAGTGTGTCTTTGTAAGGGCTTCACGGGGCTCCCTGCTCAGAGTCCAGGCTGCCTTGCTGGGGAGCAGATCTGCCTCTGACCCCCACGTGGCCTCTGCACAGCATGTGGCCTCTCTGGGAAATAAGTCTTGCAGACTCTGTGGCCAGCTTCTGCTTGGAAGGCAGCTGGAAGGAGGGTCTGAGCTCTTGGCTCCTGAGTCGGACATCCCGAAGGAGTCTGCTGGACGCAGACATGGAGATAGGACCGGGTGCCAGAAAGCACTGCAGAACATGAGCTCTCAGGTGTGTGCACTGAGCACATTACCTCCCACCAGCCTCTTCCCTAAAAGGAAGCAGAAGCTGCCGCAGATGTTTGAGGAGAGCCATCTGAGACACAGGAGGAGAGCATATGAACGGGAGCCGAGCTCTAGCCGCCAGCTAACAGAAGAAAATCTGTTCAAAAGAAAAAGTGATCCTGTCCTCTACGTAAATAGAAGACATTATATCCATAAAACAAGAACAGGATGCTATGAATAAAGAGTAACGGGAAGGCAGAAGAGAGATCTCTGGAGGACGTGGAAACGATATGGACGATTAAATAGAGGGATTTTCCCAAAAGGAGAACAAAGAGATGAAAAAAGTGAAAGAGAGACAAGAAATAGGGAGAACATTTCAGAGGTTTCAGTACTGTTAATCACATGTGGCCAGCCCTGCCTGCTCACCTTTAGGGAGGGGTCCCGGCAGAGGCTCAGCACCAGAGACCAGGGGCAGGCGGAGTAGAGCAGGCTGGGGCTGGGAGCTGCTCGGCGGCTCTCGGGTGTGTGCTGGTCTGGAAGAAATGAGAAATCACATGCAGCCCCAAACAGGAGATGCCGACCGGAAGTTCCACCAGGCACCTAACTCAGTGAATGAATGGGGGGTCCCAAACCCTTCCCAGGGCTGGGGTGGAGAGAAGCACAGGCCACAGTTCAACAAGAGAAATTAGAAGGGGGTTGGGATGCTCCACCAGCAGCAAAGACAAGGGAAGGGAGCTCCATGATTCTGGAAGAAAATAACCTCCGACGGGAGTCTCTGGGCTCATCCAGCTCCAGCCAAGGGAAGGCAGAAGGAAGACCTGCACGTCTTCAGGCCACCAGAAATCTGCCTAAGCTGCTTCCTGGGGACAGGGCCTGGGTGTGCTTTGGCACAGCCAGGGAGGAGGCCTGGGGCCGAGTGTCCCGTGCTGGGGAGAGGTCAGGGGAGGCCGGGGTCACCTGGAGGCCTGCAGGGTACCCAGCCCCGAGCGTCCGTGGGAAAACCAGGAGGAGCTGCTGCCGTAGGGACTGTGCTGTCAGGAGGCACCCGCAGTGACCCTGGCACTCACCAAGAGGGGCAGGGGCAGGGCCGGGAGAGGGGTCATTGACAGGCAGGCTGGGGCTCGGCGCTGTGCGGCTGAGCGGGCCAAGTCCACATCTGGGCAGGGCTGGGGCTGGGGACCAGCTGAAGGGCCCGCAGTGGTGGCCTCTGGAGATGGGCAGCAGGGGACACCGGACAGGCTCAGAAGGCATTCGGTGCCATCTGGTTTGGAGACAGGTGCGTGTAGCTCTTTTGTGTAGCTGAGACTAGAGCACAGAAGCCGCAGCAGTGCCCGTGGCAGCTGCCACTCCCGAGGACTCCTGCGGGCAGCGACAGGTGCCCATCCTTGGGGGCACTGCTGTGCTTTTACCTGGGTCCCAGGCAGGCAGCGCCCCAGGCCTGTGGGTGTGGCCACCTTGCTGGGAACAGAGGTCAGGCTGGCTGTGGTCACCTGACAGGCTCCCTGGGGGCAGCTTCTGGACCTGGAGTGGACTTTACCCTCCCTTGGGAGAGGCTACCACTCTCCAGGGATGGTGCCACCTGCTAGAGGCCACCCCACCTGCCAGATCTGGGCACTGGTTCAGAAAGCTGACAGCATTTGTGTGGAGGGAGACGTGGCCAGTGAAGACCCTTTGGTGCCTCCTGCCCCTTGTGGCCATGAGGAAGGCCCCAGTCCTGTTTATGGTAAAGGACCACACAGGGCCTTAGTGCCTCGGCCGCCTACCCTGGGGCACTGATAAAAGTCCAGAATAAACCGCTTTTCCACCCGGCTGAGTCGCGGGCGTGAGATCCTGGGTCAGCCCTGCCCAGGTCTGCCCCTCATCACCATCAGGGAAGTCACCGGCTCTGGGGGAGGCCTGCTGCTACTGTCCTCCCAGGCCAGGCTGCAGGGAGGCCCGGAATGCTCTGAGGAATGTGCCCGCCCTCCCGGGCAGCCAGGGCTCCCAGGGCCACCCCTCCCCTAGCTGGGGCCCAGGAGGCTCCCAGCACTGGCTTCCTGGGTGATTTAAGTAGAGAACTTGTGTCCTGGGAGGGGTGGTGGCTTCTAGAGCTGTGGGGACAGCCAGCTTCCTGGTGTCCTGCAGTTGCGTCAGCCTGTGGCCAGCTCTGCCCTGCCGCCCATCAGGGAGGGGTCCCCGCAGAGGCTGCACAGCCTGGCCACAGCAGACGGTGGCAGTGTGGGATGTGGCTCTGGACCATGCCGTCTTCCTGGAGCCCAGGGAGCTCCCCAGTCTGCACCTCTGGCTGTGACCTCCCCCTGGGAAGGAGGTGCTGCTGGCCTCCAAGGGCAGCCCTCCTCTCCAGATGCATGAGGAGATGGCAGGGGACGTCCCAGCCCTGCTCTGAACCCAGAGTTCCACCTGCAACGTGGGCAGAGGACTGAGCCTCGTCTTCCGATCTGGACTCCAGGCGGCTGCCCTCAGTGACTCTGGGAATTAATTTTAACACTCAAGGCTCTGGACAGGGGGGTCCCCTGGGTGGAGGCTTCTTTTTTTTAATTAAAGGGACGCTGGTTAGAGCCGTGACGTCTCCACATGGCCTTTGGATCCTCAGGCCTCCCAGGCGGGGGCCTCCTCCTGTTGGTGTTGTGTGGGGAGCTGGCACGTCCACGCTCCATGCAGCCTGTTAAACAGACCCGTCCACCTCGGTGCCCGCAGGTGGGAACAGCCCTGCAGTGCCCATGTGCAGGCTTAGGAGCTGAGGCAGAGGCAGTGTCCTTGGCCCTGAGGACATGGGGTTTCCAGGCCTCTGCAGGGTGGGCCCTGTGCAGGGGGAACGCGGTGGAGAGCTGGCCCTCAGAGTGCATGGTCAGTGGCCCGAGGCAGCCTGGCGTGGCCCGACCTGCCCGAGCATGAGGGCCCACCTGGCTGCCTGTGCACCGACCCTCAGGCGAGCCTCACCCAGTGTCCACATGGGCCTTCTGGCTCCTCCTGCTCCTGGGTCAGTCGGCACCACACGTCTTGGCCACCAGGGTCTCAGGCCACTGGGGCTCCACCTGGACATGCTCCATGGCTCCTGCGTCCAGGGCTGTGAGTTTGCCCCCAAGTGGTATGTGTCCCTTCTAACCACGTCCCTCCTCGCTGGCCAAAGCCAGTCTTGGGACTGTGTTGTTCCCAAGTGGGCAGGAAGGTGGCCCTGCCTTGTGCCCAGAGAAGGACGAGGGCCGGGCCAGGGACCAGCACCCGTGGCGGCATCAAGCCTGTGCTGCCCATTGCCACTGGAGCTGCTGGGCCAGGGCTGGAGGATGACGGGCAGGTCAGGGACGAGAGAGGACAGAGGGATGCAGGGGCTGGGAGGACGTGAGCTGCCAGGAGGGACAGGCCAGCGCGTCCCGGGGAGGGACATGCCGTCCAGCCTCAGGCTCTCGGCTCCTGGGGCGTCTGCCCTGGGTCAGGAGGTGTGAGTCCTGGGCTGTGTCCCTGGCTCTCGGGCTCGTGCCCAACTCCTGTGCCTGGGGTCGCCTGCCCCTCTGCCATCAGAAACATGGGACGGCAGAGCCCGTGGCCTGCCGTGTGGCAGGGGCTCGTGGACGGCCAGCCTGGCTGCAGGGTGGGAGGCGGCTGTCACAGGCCTGTCCCGGTGCTGGTTCTGTGCAGCAGTGTGTGTCCCAGGCAGGTCCTGGGGGCGCTGAGCCAGGTGGGGCCGGGCCACTGTCACGCAGCCTCGGGACGGCTCCCAGGATGAGCTGTCCTATGTCCACCATGTGGAAGTGGCTCCGGGAGGCCCAGTGGCCATGCCACCAGGTGTCCCAAGCAGCAGCGAGGGCTGAGCCAGGTTCTAATCCTGGTCTGTGGGTCCCCAGGGCCCGTGTACCCAAAACGCACCAGCTCGGGACTTGGTCTGTGCTGCGGTCAGAGGACTCCAGGGCCTTCCCCCCACCACGGAGCCTGGTCCAGCCTCCATCCTGATGAGCCCCTGAACAGGAGCAGGTGTGAGGCTGTCCCCGCCTCCGTGCAGGCCGCCAGGGGTCCTGGGGACTGGACCTGCCGATGACCTGCCCTGCTCCGCTCTAACCTGCGTCACTGCCCCCTCTGGCCCCCACCCGGCCCATGCTGCCCCCCGGGGCTGCACCAGGGCTCTGGCGCATCGGGCAGATGCTCAGGCCGGGGAGGGCTGACCCCCAAGAGGCCTTGGGAGGGAGGCCCTGCTGACCCTTCTCTGCCCTCCACCCCAGGACCCGTGGCCGCCCAGCATGTCCCAGCGGCACTCAGACGGCGCTCTGGAGGAGAAACTGCTGGAACACCGGTTCCACTCCGAGCTGCGGCTGGACGCCCAAGGGAACCCCGCGTCCCAGCTCCCTCTAGTCCGGGGCTCCCTGAGGTCCAGGACCAATGCTGCCTTCGAGCCCGAGGCCTCGTCGCCCTCAGGGGACCAGGAGCCCCCACACATCGTCCTAAGCACACAGAGCCCCGCAGCCCTCAAGAAGGGCACCCAGCAGATGATCCCCAGGAACTTGGCCGTGGCCAGCAGGGCCAAGGCCCCAGCCCGTCACCAGAGCTTTGGGGCAGCTATGCTTAGCAAGGAGGCCGCACGCAGGGACCCCCAGCTCCTCTCGGTCCCCAGCTTCTCCGTGGACGACATGGACGTGGACGTGAGCCCCGTGGGGATGCCGAAGCGGAACCTGCGGAACCAGTCCTACCGGGCGGCCATGAAGGGCCTGGAGGCGCCCGGCAGCAAAGGGGCCGCCCTCCAGCTCAGCCCCAAGCTCCAGGCTCTGTCCGAGGAGTCTGGCCAGCCTCCCGCCCGGTGCCAGGCCAAAAATAAGGTAGGGGCCTGCCTCCCAGGCGGGCAGGATGGGAGGTGCCCTCAGGGCTCAGGCGCCCGCAAACAAGAAGGTGGCCTGACCCTCTAGGCCCCCCTCGCCTGCACCCACATCTGCGTCACTGTGAGCCTACTGGGTGCCGGCTCTGGACAAGCTCACTGAGCCGAGACTTGTGGTCAGACCGTCAGTGTGAACGTCTGTCCTGTCAGGCAGCGGAGCCGCGAAGGTTGACGGTTTTGCCAGGTCTCGGGCTGTAGCATCCCTCCTCCCACCCAGGGTGGGCAGCAGAGGCCCTGAGGGACCCACCCCCTCTGAACCTGGCGGTAGCCGCCTATCTGATGGCTTTGTAACAGCGACCACCCTGGCGCAGGCCGCCTGGGGCCCCGACGGCCTCAGGAGGGCCAGTGGGCAGGTGCCCAGCTGCCTGTGGCCTGGAAGCAGCCTGACCCCTGCTGCTGCTCCCCCACCCCTGCCTGCCTCAGTGGCCCTGGGCCAGCAGCACACACTTCCCTGGGCGGTCAGGCTGCTCAGGTCACTGTGGCCCCGGGGGACAGAGGGACCTGAGGGGCTCCTGGACCCATATCCCTTGCCCTTTCTGTCGTTCCCCCGGGGCTGGAGGACCAGGACTCGGCTGCAGGCAGCCACGGAGCAGGACGCATGCTCTGGCCAAGCTGCCCTGGCCCTGACCCGGCTCTGAGGGCCTCCCGAGCCCGCTGCCCGTCTGCTTGGTCTGCTCACCCGGGGCGAGGTCGGGAGGGGCCTTCTCCGTCCTCGAGATGGTGACTCAGAGCTCTTCCCTGTGCAGAACAGGGGTCTGTCTGGGCCGGTGCTTTGCTCCGACTTGTCCAGAAGCGGACCCAGGCTCAGGGGCAGGCAGGCCTTCGTGCATGTCCTGGGGTGGGGCTCTGCCGCTGGATGGCCTCGAGCAAGTTCCTGGGCCTCGGCACCCGTGTGTCAGTGGAGGGGACAGCCCTCCTCTGTGGCGTGCTCCAGAGAGCAGCATGCAGCATGTGGGCGCGAGGAGCAGGCTCCGTGTCCGCGGGAAGGCTGCGTGCGCTTAGGGGCATCTGCTCCCCGGCTGCAGCCCCAGAAGCCAAGACCACCGGTCAGAGCAGCGGCCACCACCAGTACACAGCACGGCTGGGCCACCAGCCTCCACTGTGGGCCCGTGGTGGCCGAGGCAGGTCCTTGTGCTCCCATAGCCAGCCACTGTCCTCCATCACAGCCACCCCTGCTGTGCCTCCAAGACGGACAGACCCCAGACCCTGCGGGACCTCTGCAGGGGTTGCTCTGGCCACGGTCGGTGCTCCTGGGGCATACTATGTGCCCCCCCACAGTCCCCAGACCCACATTATGTGTCCCCATTGTCCTCAAGGCCACACTCAGTGCGTCCCACCCTGTCCCCCGGCCCACACTCTGTGCCCCCCCCCCACTCACTGCCCCTTACACTCTGTCCCCCACATGTCCCTACGCTGTCCCCAGGCCCCGCCTGCAGGGACCTGTTCATCTGCTCACTGTGGCCCGCCCCCAGACCCACTTCCTGAGGACCCACCACTGTTGGGGCTCCCAGCTGAGCACAGCAAGCTCCGTCCCTGTCCCGGCACAGTTTCTAGGACAGAGGGGGCTCAGTGAGACCCCCAGGGCTGGTAGGGGCTGCGGGAGCACAGGAGGGCTACAGCAGTTAGGAGGGCCTGGGGGGACAGGAGGAGGGACAGGGGAGGCCTGGGCGGGAGGAGCAGGCCGGGAGCACCACGCCCTGCAGCACGGGGCTTTCTGAGGACCCGGAGACCAGCTGCCTTCCCTGGAACCGTGCACCTGTGAAACCCTGTGTCCCAGCAGAAGCGTGGGCTCTGAGGGACAGCTGGGCGGGCACTCCCTAAGAGCCTTGTCCCCCGGCCACCTCTGCCATCCCTCCTTTGGTTCCTGGGGTCCTGGCCAATTGCAGTCCTGCTCTTCCTGCCACACCAGGTCCTCTTCTCCAAGGCCTGGGACAGCCCCAGGTCGCACCCCACCCTCTGCCCCTGCTCTGCCCTCTGCCAGCCACCCCTGTCTACCTCGGCTCCCCTCCGTCCCCCGGGCGCCCAGCTCTCCACGCCCTCTTTCCCTAGCATGGGGCTAGCTCAACCCTTCCCCCAGGCAGTCCTCCTGGACCTGCCCGTCCAGGCCTCGGCTTGGTTGCTTGGCCTTGCAGGTCTCGCCCGGGTCTCTGGGTCCCCAGAGCAGAGTCCCTGTGACCCGCCCTGCCCTTCCCTGCTGACTGGGGTGTCCCCTCTCTTGCCAGAGGACTCTGGGTCGGAAACGAGCGCACAAGGGCTCCTTCAAGGATGGTAAGTGGCCCCGAGGCAGCTGGGGGCTGGGCCCTGCCGGCTGGAGCCAGACTCACTGGGGCTTTCCTGGGCGGGGTCGGGTGGCTCTGGTTTGATGGCTCAGAGGGGGCACCAGGCCAGGGACGGAGGTTCCAGGGCTGATGTGACTGTGCCACCTGATGGATCCACAAAGTCCCGAGGACAGGACAGACTGCCCCACACTCACCCAAGCACCCCACCCAGCCAAATCAGAGGGCACCAGCCCTGCCAGGCACAGACTGCCGGCTGTGCTCTGCCTGGGATCTGTGAGGTCTGAGGGCGGCCTGGTGGGTGTCAGGGCTAAGGAGGGGGGTGATGGCTGGTGCTTTGCCTGCGCTGCTGAGAGAGTGAAGCCCAGCAAAGATAGGGGCCTCAGAGCCCCAGGCCCAGCCTCTGCTGAGAGGTCCCAAGGCCCAGTGGCCCCCCAGGAATTCCACCCCCAACCCCTGGAAGCTTTGTGGATGGCCATAGCCTGGGAGCAAGGACCTGGGCCTCCTGTGTGATCCCCTTGGGAAAGATTGTCCCCAGGAGAGCAGCAGCAGTGCCCGGGCCTCAGGGCGAGTTGATGGCAGCATCCTGAGCTGGGAAACAGCCTGGCCATTGGGCATGCGGTGTAGACAGGCGCTGGGAACAGCACCTAGCACCCCAGGCCCAGCCTGCCCCCAGGCCAGGCCCCGCAGACCCTGCAAAGCTCCGATTTGTCCACTGGCCCCTGGCCCAGAGGTGCCACATTCCACACCAGGCTGCCACCTGCCTCCAGGGCCGTCCCCCTAGGCGTGGGAGCCAGCTGGCCAGAGGGAAGCCTGTCTTGAGAGCCCGCACTGCCTGATGCTCTCAGGGGAGCTGGGGGGTCCAGGGGAGGGCTTGGCCTGCTCCGAGCCCCCAGGCATGGGGGTAACTCTGCTCCCCTCTCCAGACCCCGGGTTTTACCAGGAGATCCGGGAGCGGGGTCTGAACACCACCCACGAGTCTGACGATGATCTCCTGGATGAACCCTCCAGCCCTGGGGGAACCCAGAAGGTGGACACCACCATCGTGGTCAAGAGTTACCGGCCTGCCCAGATCACCTGGAGCCAGCTCCCAGAGGTAGGGCCAGGGCGGGCCGAGGCGAGCCGGGTGGCTGCAGGAGGTCCCCTGGCATTTCCCACTCCAGCCAGGACGGCCAGGTCTTCACAGGGAGGTGGGGCAGGTCCCCTGCTGTGCCAGGCTCACCTGGGGTCTCTGGAGCCTTGAGCTGTCCTTTCCATGAGGGCACCTTGGGGGTGGTCACTGGGGGAAGAAAGCACTTGGGGACACGTGAGCTTATCTTCTGTCATCATGCGTGAGGGGGGCATCCTGCTGAGGCTGACCTGCGGGGCACTGTGGGTACAGGGGCCCGTCCTGCTGGGAGAGCCCTCCAGGGCTGAGTAAGGAAGTGGCTAGGGACGGGGCAGCCCCTCCCACGTCCGACGTCCCTGCTCCGCGGGGCCCTGGGCTCATTGGAGAGCAGGCCCAGGAAGTGGTCTTGATGCATGAGGGGTGCTGGGGGCACAGCTGGCCGCTGTGGACAGGCTCATGAGCCTTGTCCCCCAGGGCTATGGGTGTGGTGGCAGTGGGAGGGGTGGGCCTGGCTTCCCTTCCCCTCAGAACAGTGGGCTCTCTGTTTGCCGTCTGGGGGACCTTCCATGCCTGCTATGGGACCCCCTGGGGGGCCCAGCAGAGGGCAAGGCAGGGCCCTCCCCACCCCCGCAGACGGAAAGGTCCCAAAGTGCGTGTTTACTGCCTGCTGGGAGTTGAGCCTGGGCCCCCCTGGGTGGGAGCACAGCCGGGTACCCAGACCAGGCTGGGCAGGAGGTGGCCTCTGCCCAGCCCCGAGGGAGGAGAGTCCAATCAGGACGGCCCTGGTCCTGAGAGGCAGCACCTCAGGCCGTGTGGCAGGCCACCTGTCCTGGCATGCTCGTAGGGACAGCGTGTGCCGCGACTTGAGGGAGCCACACTCCAGCCAAGGCAGCTGGAGCCGTGGCCCTGAGGGCGGAGCACTCCTGTGGCCCCACCTCAGTGTCGCGGCCTTCGCGGGGCCGGCCCCTCCCCTGGGCTCTGCCCCTCTCCCCAGCTCAGGTGCTTAGGAGAAGCCTGCCCGTTTGGCCATCCCCCTGGTGACCCCGGTTGCTCTCAGGGGCTGTGCCTGCCCCAGGACGGTGTCCAGAAAGGAAGAGGGGGTGAGGGGCTTGCTCGGCTCTGAGCTGGGCACAGGTGGCTGCGGGTGTTTCGGTGGGGTGACCGTCCCAGCGCCCACTCTCCCCTGGCTGTGGTCCAGGGCAAGGACAGAGTGGGGACTTTGGCTCCAGCCTCCAGGAGGTGCAGTCTTGCTCCCCACGCTGTGCCCCCCCAGGTGGTGGAGTCGGGCCTGCTGGACAGCCTGTCCACGGAGGAGCGCAAAAGGCAGGAGGTAAGGCAGAGGGTGCTGCCCACCCCCTGTGGGCCACCCAACTCCCTGGGGAGAGCCACGGAGCTGTTCACCCCCATGGGCCACCTCCAGGCCAGGCACGGTCAGCCCCTCAGGTCAGCTCATGGGTCCTCGGGCTTGGACGAGGATGGGAGCCCTGGCCTGTTTCACGTAGCGCACAAGTGGCCGCGCCAGAAGGCAGACCCGGGGAAGTCCCTCGCAGCTTGGGAAGGCTGTCCTGACGGCCCTGTCCAGCGTGTCACCCAGGGGCCCCGCCCCACCTGCCCCTCCTCCACCCCTGTCCTCAGTGGCACGCTCCTCCAGGCGGGCAGCTCACCGTCCACTCCCCCCACAGGCCATCTTCGAGATCCTCACGTCCGAGTTCTCCTACCTGCACAGCCTGGGTATCCTGGTGGCCGAGTTCCTGCAGTCCAAGGAGCTGCGGGCGACCATGACCCAGACCGAGCACCACCACCTCTTCTCCAACATCCTGGACGTGCTGGCCGCCAGCCAGAAGTGAGACCTCGCTCGGCCGCCCACACGCCCAGGTCCCTGGGAAGGCCACCTTGCCCTAGCCGTCATCACTGTGAGGCGGTTGAAACCTGGCCTGTGACCCTGGGGCAGTTTGAGCAGCCACTGGCTGGTAGAGCTGAAGCCCGTGGGCCCGTGAGGCCCCTGCGAGCTGACCATGGGGACAGCAGGGTGCTGGGAGTCCTAGACTCACACCAGCTGGGGCACCCCTAGGGCACAGCCTGGGCCCACGCCGTGCCGGTTCCCATGCGTGCTGGGCTCGGAAGGCCTCGCGAGAGCGTGTGCCAGAGGTCTGCGCGGCACAGGCAGCAGTGCCCGTGGTGCCCGGCCTCCGGCAGCCTCGAGTTGCAGCCCCAGGTCGGGTTCTGTCCAGGAGTGTCTGGTGGCCAGGCTGGGCTCTGGTTGCAAGGCCTGGGCAGGGAGGGCCAGCCGTGCAGGCTCAGGTCCATGAGGGGGTGTGTGTGTAACCACATGGAACCCCTCAGAGGCCGGCCCAGCCCTGTGCCCCAGGAGACCCTGGGCCTCCTCCCACTCTCTGCCCTCAGGCTGGTTGACCTGGTGGGTGGGTGGCCAGGTGAGCCCTCGGGTTGTGTGGTTCCAGCTGGGCCCTTGGAAATGGCTGCTGGCTCCTTCAAGTCAGAGCCAGCCTGGACTTCCCGAGCCCCACGCAGAGCCTGCTGCCTGGGGCCACCCTCCCCCACAAGAAGTTTCAGGGGGTCAGAGAGCAGGGAACTGGCCTGTCCCTGGAGACAGGGACTTCCTGTAGAGCGTCCGTTACTGCTGTGGGAACCTCCAACCCCAACTCGACAGAGGGGGAGGGAGGCTCTCTGGGTGGCAGCTGACCCCCACCCCCACGCAGACTCCTGTCCCCCAGGGCAGCCCTCTCTGTGTGAGGCAGCATCCTGTTTACTTCTGGCCTCTGAAGGGCTTTGGACTGGCCATTGCTGAGATGGAACTCCCTGGCCACCTCCCCCGGCCACTCACAGTAGCCTCCCCTGGAATCCAGCACTATTTGGGGTCAGTGTCTGATGGCCGTATCTCCCAGACCTCGCTGAAGCACCCCAGCTGACTGGCCCGCCTCACCCAGGCAGCAGGGCTCCTCAGGGTCACCATCCGCTCACCTGGGGCCATCTGCTCCTGACCCACTGTCCTGTCTGCCCGGCCTCCTTGGGCAAGGCCTCCTGAGGGTTCCTGCTCATGGGAAGCGAGGTCCCTGTGTGAGTGGAGGGTCTGGCTGGCCACATTCAAGCCAGAGGGGGCTTCTCAGATGAACAGAGGTCTGGTGGGGACAGCACACCCCACCTCCTTGGCCAGGGCATGGAGCGGTGGACAGGGCTCGGGGTCTGGCACTGTGAAGGCCCCACACACCAGGCAGCCATCACAGGTCCAGCCGAACCCAGGATGGGACAGGGGCCTACTGACAGCAGATTAGCTCAGCTTCATTACCCTGGGCCAGGGTCTGCCTCATGGAGGAGGTCAGGGGCTGGTGGTCACTTCCAAGGAATCTTTCAAGAGCCCAGGTGTGGCCCCTGCTATGCCCTGGGCTGCCCACTCAGAACAGGGTGTCCGTGAAGGTGGACCGTTTCGGAAGCCTGATGCACACACCCCCAAGCGGTCTCCAGCCAAGTTGGGGAGGTTGGCTGGCGGAGCTGCCCTGATGTAGGACCTGTCCCTGGGGGGAGTGGCCTGCCTTGTCCCTCCAGGCTCCAGGTGCAGCCCCTCTGTGTGCTCAGGGGCCTGGGCGCTGTGTCTGTCACTTATTCCCAGGGGCAGGCCCAGGGCTGCAGTGCTCAGGGAGCGCCCCAGGGAGGCCTGTGAGAAGCTGGTATGTCCTGGGCTCCCCGGGCATGGCGGAAAGCCTCGCTGCAGGACACCCGGCCCTCCCGCCTCGGCCCGTCAGGCTTGGGATCTGGCCTGCTGAGCAGCATGCGTGTGTGTGCACCTCTGTGTGCCTGTGCTCGTCCGTGTTACGTGTGTTCACGGGGCCCTTCGCCCTGCCTCCCTCTGAAGGTTCTTCGAGGCCCTGGAGCAGCGACATAAGGCACAGGTGTGTGTGGAGGACATCAGTGACATCCTGGAGGAGCACGCCGAGCAGCACTTCCACCCCTACGTCGCCTACTGCTCCAACGAGGTCTACCAGCAGCGCACCCTGCAGAGGCTGACGTGAGTGGCCGCCCCATCTGTACAGACCGCCAGGCTCCCGCCAGCCCCTGGAGGGACAGCTGTGTCCTCTGTTGCAGAAGCAGCAACAGCTCCTTCCGCGAGGTCCTGCGGGAGATCGAGAAGAAGCCTGCGTGCGGGGGCCTGCCCATGATCTCCTTCCTCATCCTCCCCATGCAGAGGGTGACCCGGCTGCCACTCCTGACGGACGTGAGTATGCAGCCAGGCCAGCTGGCGGGGAGATGGCCTGGGCACAGCCGTCCCCTCGCCCGTGGGAACCCACCCAACACCCCTCCTCCACACTTGGTGGTCTGCATGAATGGGTCAGTTGTGACGGCGGTTACCAGGTGGTGTGAACCATCAGGGTCACCTGCGGTCGGCACCCTGATCGCCACCTCCCAGAGAGCACACATGTGCCACCTGCTGCACGAGGACCCAGCTGAGCCTCAGCGGCTGCACACGGAGTGCTCTGAGGTGTCCTCACTGAGGCGTGGCACCTCAGACTCTTGGGCCCCTGGACGTGTAAAACAGGGCCTCCGGGGGCTGTTCCCCAGGCCAGGGGGAGAGGGCCTCGGGTGGGAAGGGGTGGCGTGAGGTTCCACTCCCGTCCCATCAGCCTGGCTTGCTGAGCCCCAGGGCCTGAGCTCACCTGGGGGCTGCGTACCTCGGCAGGGACCCTGGGGAGCCCTCGACCTCCCTGCAGCCCACCCAGGCTCTGGAATACGGGAGCCCTCCCTTCTTGCAGACCCCCAGAAGGGCCCTAGCATCTGGTGTCTTCCTCAGACGCTGTGCCTCAAGACCCAAGGCCACCCTGAAAGATACAAGGCCGCCAGCCGGGCACTGAAGGCCATCAGCAAGGTGAGGGGTCAGGGCCCCACCTGGTGGCACAGACCCTGGGGCAGGGGGGGCGGTCCTCCATCCCGAGCTCTTCACAGTACTGTGGAGACACTGAGGCCTGGGGCCAGGGGACTTGCCCAGTCAGTGAGACCCCAAGACGGACCAGGCCCACCCAGCGCCACCAGAAGGGGAGGGCGGGCCTCGAGAGCCGCAGAGCCAGGCGTGGAGGGCAGGCTGGCTACACCTCCTGACCGCCGGCCTCGCCTGCAGCTGGTGAGGCAGTGCAACGAGGGGGCCCACACCATGCAGCGCACGGAGCAGATGTACACGCTGCACACGCAGCTGGACTTCAGCAAGGTCAAGGTAGGGGCTGCCCCAGATGCCTCAGACCCCTGTGCACCCCAGGCCCCTCTCCCTGCTGCCGTCTGCCTGGGGTCAGGGGTCCAACCTGTGGGGCCTGAGCTGGAGAGAAGCCTTGGGGGCCTGTGCCCGTCCCTGTCCCTGGGGCAGTTTCCCTGTGGGAGCTTGTTACCACCCCTCAGCTCGCAGCACTCCTCGGAGGCCGAGTGGGCAGAGGGCAGGCCCAGCCCTCAGGGAACTGACCTAGGCAGTGGGCAACAGGCCTGGCCTGTGGCTGTTCCTGGGCCAGGGCTCCCTGCTGGACACACTGAGGACAAAGGGGCAGGAGTGGCCAGAGGCCAGCCCAGACCTGTTTCCCATGGGGCTTGCATTCTGGGGAGGGGGCAGATATCACCATCCCGGGCCTGGACAGCCTCCCCAGGAGGCAGGACTCAGATCCAGGCCTCCACAGACCACCCCTGAGCACCCACAGCTGGCCTCACCCCTGTATTGCCCAGGCTCAGCAGCCACCTCCCAGAGTGGACCTGTGTGGGCCTCTGGTCCTGGTGTTCTGTCCACTTGGCACCCCTTTGTCCTTTCAGAGGTGCCCTAGTTTGGGTGATAAGTCACAGGCCCCCCAGGTCAGGACCATGCAGTGGAGCCTCAGAGGTGCTGACCAGGGCAGCAGGCTCCTGGGGTGGTTGGGGTGGACTCTGTGGAGGAGGCGTCCGGTGACGCTGCCCTTCATGTGCTCAGCTCCTGATCCCGTCACGTTTGGCCACGGCACACCCAGCCTCAGCCAGGTCCTGGTCCCAGGCCTGGCTGACCCCGAGTGGGGCTCTACCCCAGCCTGGTCTTGAAGCCAGCACTGCCCTGGGCCTGGGTTGGGGAGGGCAGGTTGGTCCAGGTAGGGGACGCATGGCCAAGGCCCGGAGGTGGGAGTCGCTGGCACTTCTTTGGGTGTCCAGGGGGAGAACATTTGGATAGGGGGTGGGAGCCAGCCCAGGAGCAGGGCCCCCAGCCCAGCAGAACCCCATCTTCCTGCCCCCTCTTATTTGGGTCCTTTGGTCCCCATCCCTCTCCACCAACTTGGCCCCAGGGTGGGAGGGAGCTCTGTTGCTGAGTCAAGGTCAGCACCAGATACTAGCATGTGGCCATCCCAGGCTGGCCCCCGACCAGGCCTCATTCCAGGGGCCCAGCGTCTGTGTAAATGCCATCAGCTTTGCCCCTCCCGGATGAGGAGGTGTGCGCCCTCCCTGGGACTGGTCTCTGTCCCCAGTGCAGGCTGAACGTTCAGCCAGTGCCCAATGGGCATGACTGGAGGTGGCATGGGGCCGTCCTGGGCTGTGGGCAGGGTCAGAGCCCAGGGCCCAGCGCAGCACCTGTCGGTCAACTGGGCAGCACTTATCCGAGGCCCAGGGACCTCTCGCCCCGGCCTGCCCAGCCTCCACGGGGCAGCCAGCTGGACAGCCGGGTTGCCCCCCATGCCACACTACCCGTCGGTCCCCCCAGGGGCCTTGTTCATCTGTCCTCTCTGTCCTGTCTGTCCCTAGTCCCTCCCCCTGATCTCCGCCTCCCGCTGGCTTCTGAAGCGCGGGGAGCTGTTCCTGGTGGAGGAAACGGGGCTTTTCAGGAAGCTCGCCAGCCGGCCAACGTGCTACCTGTTCCTGTTCAGCGACGTCCTGGTGGTCACCAAGAAGAAGAGGTGGGCCTGGCCATGAGCCTTGGGTGTCGGGAACGGCAGGGGTGAGAGGACCAAGAAGAGGTGGGGCCAGGAAGGACGGGGGGCAGCCGGGCCCCCAGGCTCGAGGCTCAGCACTGCTGCACGCGAGGTGGGGTGGCCCTGGGCTCCTCCAGCCTGGGTGGCTGCCCCGGGCAGGGCTCCAAGGCTGCGGCCTCTCAGCTCAGGGGAGGGAGGGAGCCCCCAGGAGTGTCCGTGGGAGCCCAGCCCAGCTGTTGCAGGGCAGCCCTGACTGCCCGTGTCCCACAGCGAGGACAGCTACGTGGTCCAGGATTATGCCCAGATGGACCACATCCAGGTCAGGAAGCTGGAGCCCTCGGAGGCCTCTCTGCCGGGGGGTGGCAACCGCAGCTCCTCCGTGCCGCACCCCTTCCAGGTGACCCTGCTGCGCAACAGTGAGGGCCGCCAGGAGCAGATCCTGCTGTCCTCAGACTCCGCGTAAGACTGGGGCTTCCTGGGGAGGGGCTGCCTGAGGTCCACACCTGTAGGCGTTGCTGCGGGTGCAGAACCCTGGACAAACTCACAGCCCGCCACGCGGTGCTTGTGTTCCCCAGAGGGCACCTCAGCAGATAGAGGCCTGAAGTGTCCAGTGGCCAGGAGGAGGAGTGTATGAGGGTAAAGCAGGCAGGGTGGGGTGTGGGTGGGGTTGGTGAGGAGGCCTCGCTTTTGACACGGTGACCCCAGGAGAGGAGCAGGGAGTGCTCAGTCGGGGGCATGGTTGTGCGAAGGCCCTGAGGCAGGAGCACCCTGCCGTGGAGCAGTGACAGTGGGGCAGGTCAGCCGCAGGGGTGCTGGCGCCACCTGGGGGCTCACGGCATCCCCCGGAAGGGAGGAAGCAGGGCCTCACTCTTGTTCTGTGGCCCCCAGGAGTGACCGGGCCCGGTGGATCACAGCGCTTAGCTACAAGGAGAAACAGTGGAAAGGCCTGACCAACAAAGGAGGTGAGTGGAGGCCTGCAGACGCAGCCCCAGGGTGGGAGCGGCCCACAGGAGAGGCCCTGTCCAGCCCGGGGTGCACACCACACGTGCCCAGGCCGGTCTGCATGTGCACGTGCGTGTGCGCGTACCTGAGCGCACGGGCCCGCTGTCTTCGCTTCACCCCTTCAGAGGCCTTGGCCTGCCCCATAGCTGGGAGCACAGGCCACACGGCAGGCAGCACCAGCTCTGGCCCTGCCCTGTCCCCGAGGGGAAGGAGGGCCTTCTGCCCACACTGGGTGCTTTGACCTTGAAGGCAGGGTCCTGTTCTGCAGCCTCTGGAGGGCCTGTGTTGGCCTGAGGGACACTGCCCTGTCCGTGTGCTGGGACCCCCTGTGCTCTGTAGACGGGGTCTGTGGAGGCAGTCGGTGGGGTGGAGGGACCCTGCTGCCTCAGGCTGCACAGAGCTCCTGGCTGCGCCTCGCCTGGACTTCTGATGGCCAATGCCCCTCTCCACCAGAGCTGCCCCAGGTGGAGGTCACCAAGGCCTACTTCGCGAAGGAGGCGGACGAAATCACACTGCAGCAGGCAGATGTGGTCCTGGTCATGGAGGAGGAGGCCGGTGAGCACGGGTGGGCGGGGGCCAGGCGGGCGTGGAGCAGGCTGGGTGGCAGGATGACGTGTGCTCAGGGCCTGCTGCCTCCTCCCTCGAGCGTCTCGTCAACGGGAGGACTGTTCGTCCCCAAGTCACAGGATCAAAAGCAAGCTCTTGCGTGCTCTGTGCCCTAGGTGGGGAGAGGCTCTGCTCTCCTAGGGGTCCCCACTCAGCTGATGTGCCTACAGAGTGGGACAAGCACAGCCCTGACGTCCCTCTTAATGGGCGGCCTGGGGTGGTCAGTGCCCAGCACTGCCCAGGCTCGGGGAGTGCCCACGGCCCGCCTCTCAGTGCCCACTCTCTCTGTCAGGATGGCTTTTTGGAGAGAGGCTGCGGGACGGAGAGACGGGCTGGTTCCCCGAGGACTTTGCCCGCTGCATCACCAGCCGTGTGGCCGTGGAGGACAACGTGCGCAGGATGGAGCGGCTGCGGGTGGAGACCGACGTGTAGGCAGCCCCCTGCAGCCCCCTGTGGCCCAGAGCCAGCTGTGGCTTCTAGTCCCAGCCAGAACGTGGCCCTGGCTCCAGAGAGCCTGGTGGGACACTCCAAGGCCCCACATGCTCGCAGCTGAGACCCTGCCTGAGGATCCCACCCTCCAAGGAAGAGCCTGGGGGCAGCATCTCGCCCCCAGCCCCTGGCCACCTGCCACCCACCTGCCGGGCACCCGCCGGGCAGCCACGCCCAGGCTCAGGGATAGAGATGACTGAGGGCCACCACCTGCCCACGCCCCTCCTGTCCCTGGTGAGTCAGGAAGGCCTGAGTGCTGAGGGGCCCTGTCCTGAGAGGCGGCTGCCAGCAGGAGGAGACCTAAGGGCCAGCAGGAGTACTGTGACTTTGAGGTTTAAGATGACAATAAAGTGTTTCTTCAGAACTTGGATTTCTGCAGTGAATCCGAGTCCAGGCGAAGGTCACGTTTGTCCTGGTGAAATTCTGAAAGTGCTGTGGGTTGGGGCTGGCCCCCGAGTGAGGTCCCCCCGTGCTCATCCTTGGCTCTGGCCCTTGTCCACCAGCTGGAGTGTCCTGGGCAAGGCCTGTGGCGAGGGTCCAGGGGGTGTTGACAACAGGGCCTTGCAGGACCCATCCTGGCCACTGGGGGGTGGTGTGAGCACCCAGATTCCACGGGATCCCCTCTGGGGTCCTGCAGTGAAGGCAGCCCCCTTCCTCACGCATCCCCCAGCCCTCTGGGACAGAGATAGGAGAGGCCCCAGAGCCGACCCGGGCTGGCCAGGTGGGAGGACGGTCCAGCTCTGTGGGAAGCCCGCGCTGGCCCTCCTGCATCCTGTGCTGACGCCCTTGCCTTTGTGGACCTTGGGTGCTGCTGCTGTGGGGTGGGGGCCCCAGCACACGCTGGGAGTCTGTCCTGACCCTGCACCTGCAGAGGCCCACCCGCATGAAGGTCGGGTGCATCTTCTCTGGGTGCGAACCAGCAACAGTGACGGAACCGCGTGCGGGTCCTTCAGGCCCCGGGGCAGCCCAGGAGGAGTGGGCACGGCCTGTGGGAGGGCACTGAGTCAGGGAGCTGCCGCACCAGGAGGGAGAGCTGGCTCCTCTCTGTGGTCTTCGTGGCCTCTGGCAGCTGGAAGGGCCGAGTCCAGGTTCAGCCCAAGTAGGACCATCCTGGGCAGGGACTGTGGTCAGTGGCTGCACTGCACGAGGAGGTGGGCAGGTCTTGGAGAGAGAGGCTAGGTCTGGGGGTGACCCACTGGAGAGAGGCCCCGCTGCCCCTGCTCCTGGACATGTGGGCACATCAAGCCTCGTCCCTGGCTGAGGCTTGAGCCGGGTGGCCTCTTCTCTTTCCTGCAGCTGCTGTGGGACAAGCAGGCTGACCAGGCGTGTGTGTGTTGAGTGCTCATGTGCCGTGGCCTGCCCTACTCAGGAGCATGGGCCTCGTCTTCATGGCAACCCAACTGCCCCGCAGTCCTCCTGCCAGTCCTCACCACTGAGCCCCAAGGATCAGGGTCCAGGAGGGGCAGGCGGGCCTAGCACTTGACTCCCCCAACCACGGTTCAGCCAGCAGAGCAAAGTGGCCACAGGCTGGGGCTCTGCCTCTGAAGCCGGTCCTTGCTTGTGGTTAGGGCAGTACGGCTTCATCAGCAGGGGAAGGACAGCCCTGGGCTGGAGGGTGGCTGGGGCCACCTCGGTCCAGCCCAAGCCAGGTCTGCTCAGGATAGGCCACCCTCCCTAGCAGTGAGGAAGGACAGGGTGGGGGCTGTCAGCAAGGCAGGCCCAGCCGGGCCCCGCCAGTCCCAGTCCACAGCCGAGACAGCCTGACAGAGCGTGGTCCCCCGCTGAGAACCCTCAGCCTCAGCCCACCCATTGTGTCAGGTACTCCCCTCCCGATAATGGGGGTCCTATGGAGGACCCTGCCACACCACCTGGCTGGGGGGCAGCTGGCACCCAGGGCAGGCCTGCCTAGCCACCCTTCCTCCTGTCCAGACGCGTGACGCAGGGAGGCCCTTGCCTGCATGGAATCCCCACTGCACTCGGGGAAACGGAGACCCCAAATCTCTCTACCCACTCCTGGGGTCACTGGGCTTACAGAGGACCCTCAAGGCTTTTAATGACACCAGCCATCTCCAGCAAGACCTGTGCTCAGGACGGGCGGAGTGGGACCAGGCAGTGCCTGGTGTGCCAGCCTGTGGCCACATGGGCCCTGCGTCTGCAGGGAGTGGGGACAAGGGCTGTGGTCCATCTCAGCAAACATCAGTGTCCAGCCCAGCCAGTGAGGACCCCTCCCAGGCCCCAGGGTGCCCCGCCCCGTGTGCCCTTGTGGGCCTGGCTCCCGTGGAGGAGGCCTGGCCGTCTTGGCCCCACTGTGGGACCCCCCGGTGCTGCTCTGCACCTCTGGCTCACTGGTTCCAGCCCCTCCCTCTCTTGCCAGCCACACAGTGTACCCTTGGGCGCCCCTGCTGGCTAACAGAGGTATTGCTGGCCGGACCCTGGGACACCAGGCCCAGCAGAGGTCTGGTGGTAGCAAGACTGTCCCACCCCACACACTGCTGGCATATCCGTGAACCCTGCTCATGTCCTCCTCTCTGCCTGCCAACCCACTCGACATCAGACCTGGACCACTTTAGACATGGCAGAGGCTTCCCCAGAGCCATGTGCACTCCACTGCCGGGCCTTTGATTCAACAGATTGGAATGTCAGGTGCAAGGACTGGGAGGTCCCCTCTGTCACATCACAGTCGTCCCTTGTTTATGTATATATATATGCTTCTGTTTAGGTCTTTAAAAACTCAGAGTAGAAATCCTTGTGCCAGACTCATGCCCACGTACGTGCGGGTTTGTTGCCATGGCGATAGTGTCTCAAACTGCTTCCTATTTGGCTATGGCTAATGTTGAAGGGCTGGTGACTTCTGTAGGCTTTATAATTTATATGACACATGGCTTTATTGCCAACCTTGGTGAATCATTAACTGCAGCCCTCGGCTGGTGCTTTTCTAGATAATCCAACCCCCTGAAAATCACAGCAAGTTTGTCTCACGGCAGACCCTGGCACCTAGTGCTCACCGGACAGCACTGTCGGGGCCTCTGAGCTCTGGGGGCTGCAGGCACTGTTTTCCAACTCTTGGTCCAGCTCCAGGGTGTCCAGCAGGGAGCTGGCAAGCCCCTGCCTCCCCAGACCCCGCGTTCTAGTGGGGAAGGTGGGAGGTGGGAGGTGGGAGCTGAGCAGAAGCCGTGGTGGTCACGCGGTAGGTGTGGGAGGCCCTTGGGTGGCAGGAAGTGGACAGGCCCAGATTCATTTGTGGCTCCACTAACCATGACCCTGGTACTTGGCCACCACCGTCAACGCCCCTTCTATACCCGGTTTCCCGAGAGCTGGCATCCGAACGCCTCCGGCCTGACTTCTCCCCTTGCCGGTGCTCTTCCATTAGACCAGGAGGACATTAGCTGTTTTTGTTTGTTTGTTTGATGGTGCCGAGGACGGAGCCCTGGGCCTCACACAGCCTGGGCCAGCGCTCTGCACTGAGCCACACCTGCCAGCCCAGACGTTAGTTCTGAACCCTGTTATTTGGGTAGCTCATGCTCACTTGGGAGTTCGTTTCCCTATTTCATGCCGACCTGGTTTTAGCCATCAGAATCCACCCCAGGCCAGGGAAGCCACTTTTCCTCTATTTAAAGTCCCCGAAACAAGTCACATTAGACAAGTCCACGGTGTCTTCAGAGCCTGGCCCCCCGTGCCAGCATCTGCATCAGGCACGACCGGGGCCACAGCGAGGGTGTGGACCTTCCTGGCCACTTGAGTTCACTCTGGGGCTGGTGTGGCCCTGCTGGTTCTCCTGTTTGCCCCTTTCCTGTTTTAAAGACTCTTGATCTTTTTTTATGTTTCGCTCTCTACCACAGGTGGGTTCATTCTCCCTTCTTCTTCTGTATTGTTTTTCTTGTTTCATGTTCAAAACCATCAGTCTTCTACGCTTTTTTTTCTTATTAGTCTTCAAAGAAGGAAAGTTTGGTTTTCTTAAATGTTCCACTTCAATCCATGCTGAGTACAAGGTTCACAGGAGTGAGTGTGAATGTGTGTGACACATGAATAAAACGCACCTGGGGACGCACTTAGCTTACTCAGGTTCGACCCTCGCCGTCTGATTTGCCTAAACTCTTGGTTTTTGTAAAGAGCACAGTAAAACCACCAGGTAAGATGATTTATTTCTTCCTGTTTTACCCACCATTGCTCTGTGAATTCTGAACCTCTCGTGTGTGTGTGTGTGTGTGTGTTTGTGTGTGTGTGTGTGTATGTATAGACAGTCTTGTCACCTTGAAATACTAAAACTCTTACCCAGCCTTCCTCGGCATGACTTTTAAAGTGGATTAGTTGGGTCCTTTTTCTCCTCTCCTCATTAGCCCATTAGTAGGGTCTTTTTTTTTTTTTTGGTGGGGGGCAGGTACTGAAGACTGAACCCAGGGGTGCTTACTCCCTGAGCCACATCCCCAGCCCCTTTTTATTTTTTGAGACAGAGCCTCGCTAAGTTGCTTAGGGCCTCACTAAATTGCTGAGATTGGCTTTGAGCTTGCGATCCTCCTGCCTCAGCCTCCTGAGTCGCTGGGATTACAGGTCCGCACCACGACACCTGGCCCATTACTCAGGATCTATTGACAGTTCAGGGGACCTGTTTGGGTCCTCCTCATCACCACGTGCACCCCGTGTTTCCTTCCTAGGCTCTACTGTCCCTTCCTTCCTCCCACTGGATGGTCCTGCTTCTCTGGAGGGTGTGAGGTGAGGCGCTCCACCAGCATCCTCAGGCCAGCTGACCCCAGGCTCTGCCCCTCACTTCCTGTGGCTGATCACTGGGTTTCACCAGCCAGGACGGTGACACTCCCCCTCCATCTGTCCCTGTCTACACTCTCGCCCCATGGTGACAGACTCCAGGGGTCCTTGTGGATTAACAGGACTCTTCCGGTTCTCTTAATCACTAGGGCACGTGGGAACCTGAAGAATAACCCCCTCCTGGGATCCTCGCCCTCTTGTTGAAATTTCCCAGTGAGCGTTTTCAAATCAGGCTTTTATGGGTGACTTCATGGATCTTGACAGTTTAGCTGGACATAAACACTCAGGTTTCAGAATTCCTCGCCTCTTGAAGTTACAGAACAACGCTGTTTGCAGCCTTCGTGTTCCTCTTACAGAGTCCACCGCGGGCCTGGTTCCCACTGGCCTTTCTTCTCCAGGCACCTTAGAGTTTCTCTTTGCCCCTGGTGGCCTTGGATTTGTTAGACTCAGGGGTTTCTTTTTGCCTTCCCTTTGGGATCATTCACCCTTCTGGCTGAGAACTTCCTGTGGGTGGCTTTATGCCGACAGCTTCCCCTTTTCCTAGGACCACCATTAGAGGGTTGCCAATGAACACTCCCATCAGAGCCCATCAGAGCCCACGAGAGCCCATCAGAGCCCACGAGAGCCC